GTGTATATATATATATATTTATTTAGCCATATGGTGGTCTGCGTAGATGCACACATACATGTACGTATGATCAGATATGAACACTTAGGAAAGAAGAGTAAGAGAGAGATTGAGACGGAGAGAGGGAGAGAGGGAGAGAGGGAGAGAGCGAGAGACACAGACAGAGAGAGAGAGAGAGAGAGAGTTCGACCCCGCAAAAGCCGGGCCTGTAGCGGCTGCAGTGCGCGGCACGGGGCGGCGGCGTGCCATAGCAGCTCCACACAAAATCGCTAGAAAGCCAAGTCCCAAGCCTGCGTCACGATCACGAATTACACTCTGAACTCTGGACAAACCCTTGGCTCTTGGTTCTTGGTCATCCGTGAGACTTGAACTTCTGGTGCTGGAGAGGGGATTTTGCAAGCTTCAGGTATTGAAGTCATGCAAGAAAGGCATCTCTTGATGGGAACTCCGCCAGTGTGGGGGTGCAGTTTCAAAATAATCCTATTAACAGTCCAACACCGGCTTTCTCTGATTATGTTCATTCCTTTCTTCTGTGAAGCCAAATCGGTGCGGTTTACAGGCCCTTGCCCTTACATGCGCCCAAGAGATCACATGAGGGTAATTCCCTAAATTAAGTTCCCTTTCTAGAGTCCTTTTTATAGGATACGCTTCTGGGGAGCCCTAAAGGCACCCTAATTTAGAGAACTACCCATGTGGGAGCCAGTCGTCGTTAGCAATGTCGTGGTAGTAGTAAGCGGTACGAGGCTAGAGAGAACCTATCCTCTGTCCATCGTGGGTTGTTCGATGGTCATACTATCGTTAGCCTTGACCTCTAAGCTCGACGATGCGAGTATCATGACAGCATGCCTGCTTTGCTTATGTCCTCTCACTTTAATCCAAACCCAAAGCGTCTGAGCTCCACTCTGGCAATGATTTTGTATCCTCATACCCGGTCTAACCACGGAGGTCAATAGTGTACACTCAGAACTACAGTCAACCTGCAGACGCAATGCTTCGACATGCGCCTGTACTACCTGTTCCACGGAAACAGAGAAGAAAGTGTGCCCTGTCCGGCAGATTTGTTCGAGGCTCAACTCGCCTTGCAAGGATTCCTTCCTCACGGCTCCTGGTACACAACCTTGATAGGCAGCGGCGCGAGGTTGCCACCACCAAAGGTGAAAGTGCTCTCGCCGATGCCCTTACCTTCGGAGGAGACGCCGTTCTCCTTCAAGTTCAGGGACAGGGCTGCCACAGGGTCCAGCACCTCGTCGTCCATGAACTCCATGAGGTCTTCGAACTTGATGTTCTTCGCATCCTGGCCGTTCACGGAGGCCACGACCCAACCCGGCTGGACACCGGCCACGAAAGCCTGGCCCTGTGGGTCGCCCGGGTAGCGGGACTCCTGCTTCACTTCACGGACGACGGCACCGTTGCCGCTCGGTCCCGGTGCGTAGCGGAGGATTCCAAAAGGCTTCTTCTTGAACTCGATCTCGTGGGTGGCACCTGAGGCAGTGTTTGGGTCCATAAGAGGAGGGTCGGCGTCCTTGGGGCCGTTGCGCAGAAGATAGTCAACGCCCACATGCCGCACCACCTGAGGGCCTCCCCGCAGCTGCGGGGAAGATCCCACGAAGGCACCGCCAAGCTGACAAGCTACAAAGCCAAGGCCGAGTGCAGTCACGATGGCACCAGTGACGGAGCGGGAGCGGGCCATGTTTGCAGCAAATGCAGGCAGCTTGAAACAGAGTGCGTTGTTTGAGCCTTGGGCCAAAGTGGCTACGATTTCAAGGTCGAACGCTGGGACACATTGTTCAAGTTCAACTGCTCAGATTGTCGTTTCATGGTGCTTCCCTTCCCTTAAGTCCAAACATACATGCAGGAGCTTCGGGATACCCATTGGCAGATCACTCGCCACATCCGCTAATTAAGCAAGTAACAATCTGCGTTGCGACGTTCTGCTTTGGGACTTAGTTCATTCCCCGTTTGAAATCATGTCATAGTTTGATTTATACCGTGCTAGCATTCAGGACTTTGTCGGGTAGAAACGTCCTCCGTACGCCTGCCTCACCTTGATCTGCTGTGGGGCCTCACGTAGCAAGGAGGTAACCCAAATTGATGCAGCTGATGCTGCATGTGCTGCAGGAAGCTATCGATCGCGTGCAGAGTTCAGGAGAACGAGAAATGTCCAGAAGCCGTAAATCCGAAAATGTCGGCGCTCCACCTCTGATTTCTTACAGTTTGAGGTGGCTTAGCGCTCAGGGTCTGCGAGGCAATCCTAAACCCTAAACCCTAAATCTGGCCAGCCAGGCCTTCCGGAGTCACATTGAGACTTCAACTTGGGATTAAGACTTAAGCGTTAAGTTTCCCGTTCTAGTAGCCTTAAAGGAGCCGCTAAAGAAACCCTAGTATAAGAGTTCCCTTATAGCATCCCTTAAAGGCCCTGTACTCATCGGAGAAAAGGCTGCTGGGGAGGCGACTTTCACCACCTCTGCACCAAAGTAGGCCAACGTCGCCCCTGTGAGCCGAGAGTGCAGGGTTTAGGCTCTCACAACTCGGACAGAGTGCAGGGTTTAGGGTTTTGGGTTTTAGGGTTTTAGGGTTTAATTGGGTTGAATGAACAGGACCACAGATATTTAATAAAGTAAAGGAGATGCTTGCGTCAACGATCTCCCTTTGATAATCATGCAACTATAACGCTCCGAAGCCCTGTTCACGCGCGCGCGCGCGGCAGGGCAGGCAAGCGTTTTGTACTGTAAATAGCACGAACAACACAACATTGATGTTGATTTGCGTGGATGTGGAAATGACGCGTTTCTGCGTCAAAACGCGTTAAAACTGCAAAAGTGGCTTTGGCTCACCTGCCACCAAGAGTATTTTGAGGCCAAGAAGATGCCTACATAGTGGATTTTGCTCGGTCTGTTCATGGACGGAGCTTTGTCAGGAAGTGACAAAAACTCGAGGAATTTGAGCTGTCGACGTTGCTAGAACAACAGGAAATCAAGACAGTGGCAAACAGCAGACGCGGAGGCCCTGGAGTACATGACGAGGTCATATATGTGGTGCGTACCGACAAAAACCGAGGAATTTGCCAGTTTTGTTTGATTTGAAGCGGATGCAGCAGGGACGCGGACGGCTTATCGCAGGCGCAAATGCAGGACGGAAATAGATGTTTGAAGCTGCTTCTTGACCGGAGTCGATAAGGGTATCTTCTAAAACCGTGGCAGGCTCGGCATCTCGGGATTATATGTGTTTGTTTGCATACAACGCAGTGGCTGTTTCTTTGTTTTTTCTCTGGTTTGCGTTTTGTGGACAGGTTTGACCGCCTGACAGGAGTCACGGACACTGAGAAGTCGCGTTATACAGGGCATTCGGAGCATTATTCAAGACTGATTATCGGAGCAAGTATCTAAAGTTCACATGGCACGTCAGGGCTTCGGTCTCCCCAAACCTCAATCAAAATCAAAGCTTTAGAGGCTGAAGCCGACATGTATGTATATATGTATGCATGCATGCATGTATATGTGTATATAGGTAATTAATAGCAAAGCTGGCACATGCACGGACTGCAGTGTGAGACGTAAGCTACTGTGTGTGTGTGGGTTGCATTAGGAAAGACAGCATGCACAACATGCTCTTGAGAAGTAGGACTCTATGGAATGCGAACGTGAAGCCTCGGAGATGACATGTTCTGAAGCAGTACGGCTGTCTGAAGGGCACGAGCAGTGAAGCGTCCGACCTGACGGAAATAGCCCCCCCTCCCCGCAAACCCCCTCCCCTCACCCCAACCCCTCGAAGCCCGAAAACCCTGCTCGCACCGGCACATCCGAGCCCTGAAATCCGAAAGCCTTGGAAAAACTGACGTGAAAGGCTACTGAAAGATCGTGCTAAGTGCGCATGAACAGCCCTAAACCCGCAGGGAACGATAGTGGAAGGAATTCAGCCCCCCTTGTTTCTTAGAAGGCGTGGTCTTGGCAGTTTCTCAGACTTCTGCATTAGTATGTTCCGGATGCCTCTCAACGGCTCGACTTGGTAGGGGCTTCAGGATCTTAGCTGCTAAGCCCTTCGTAGCCCCTATCTCATTCCAGTCCTGGTGGCGCCTAAACCCTGAACCCTAAACCGGACCCCAAAGACTAATTCAGAAGTCTTGAGGAATGAGATTTATCAGCTGTGAGCCTAAAAAAACGCAGATACCAAAGCATTCCGTTTTCGTTCCACGTTTCAGGTCCTGGCATGCCATGACCAGCAAATTAGGGTTTTGCGAGACAAGATCTTGAACCCACGGAGCTCCCGCCAGCAAAACCCAGCGGATCCACTCCAAAGCCTAAGCCCACAGTCTGGATCCGGATTCCCAACATCATGCGCAGAAGAACCTATGCACTAAACCTTAAACTCAAGGGAGACCTGTGATTATGAAGTTGTGCTTTCATCTGGTGCTTTTTGTAGGAAGGGTCTCGATCCCAAAACAAAGAAAGCTAGGAAAGGAGTTCAGACCCTACAGCAACATTATCATCTGAAAAAGGAGCTCGGAAAAAGAAGTAGACTATGTAGACTTCCAGTGAATCCTACAGACCAAAGCGGGAAGCGCTGAGAGAAACCGAGGAACCGAGGGGCCTGTCCAACCTCCTGCAACGAGGCCTGGTCCCACCTGAAGAGAAGCTGCGTCGCATGGGTTGAATGCTTTTGGGGATGAGGGCATTCGGGATTTAGAAGGCGAGGGGTTTCAGGGCATGAAGAAGCTGTAAGAGCAAGATCAGGACTTCCCTTGCAGCACCTGCTTCAGAAGTAGCTTAATATTAGTGCAGCAGGGAGCCCCAGAAGGTAACGCCCATACTTCCAACAAAAAATCCTTCAAGTACACAGGGGGGGTCCGGTCCCTTCCGGCTCGGACTTCGAGCCCTCCCTCTACGCATCTCTGCGCTCAAGCTTCACTCGCCCGCTCTTTTCGTCCAGACTACACTCCAGGGTTTCGGGTTTAGGGTTTAGGGGCCAATTACGCTTCCTAACCCTACAGCGCAACACGCTTCGCGTACTCAGCCATCAGCGCTGGCGTATGGGGCTTGGCTGCAGGGATTCAGGGCTCAGTGCACTGCAGTCCCTGCTCAAAAAGCTACAGCTTGAACCTTGGTAAGTGGTTCCTCAAGGCTCGAAATCTGAACTGCTGGGCGATAAAATTGTACAGGGTCATTCTTGATGCGTATAGACCTATACTCAAACCCTAAACCCCAAAACCCTTTACCGTTACCCAAACCCCCCAAAACCCTGTTCTGAGCAGGGACTGCCATGCACTAAAGCCAAGCTCCAAACGTTTGTGCTCTAGCCCAAAACCCTGAACCCCAAATCCCAAACCCCAAAACGACTTCCCTATCCGCAGCTCCGCAAGTCTTAAGCTTCCTCTCTGACTCGGCCTCGCACAGAGTTTCGAATCGCTGGTAAAGCAACACTTCAAGGGTCCATGTGAACAGATGACTATACTTTGACCTACAGTACCGAAATAGGGACTACTTTGAGGCCCCAGGATATGCTGTATGAGCACATGGACCCTTAGAGACAAAGATAATGTCGCAATGTGTCCTTGAACCGATTCCCATGTCCAACAAGAGTCAAAAAAATCAGCAGCACAAAGAAAGAGCGGTCCCAGCGCGGGCAAATGCTGCAGTCATCACCGAAGACATGAACAGCACCTCTTTCCCGTGACATCTTCAGAACACCTACACCTCGAAGCAACAAAAACCTAGACAACCAACAGATCCCGGCCTCCAAAACCTTGAGGCCCTGGAGGGGCCTCGATGTCGAAGGCTCCTTGGACCTGGTCTCTGGGTTTGCGCTCTCACAACTCGGACATGCCAGGCGAGGTTCATGGGTGCGAAGGTCGGAGTGAAAAGGAACTTCGTATCCCCCAGTCCGCCTTAGGATTTTGGCTTTGCGCTCTCGCAACTTGGACAAGCCAGGCGAGGTCTCTCGGTTTGCAGTCGCACAGCGGGAACAAAGCTCAGCATCACCCTACAAAAGGAAATAAGGCATCGGTGACCCCAGGAAATCAAAGGAGATAGGTTGTGGCCTTAGGGTGTAGGAGTTTGGGTTCAGGGACGAAAGATTTTGGGCTGAACCTCGAAGCCCTATCGACCCCAACAGGACCGATACACATAACACACCAAGAAGCCAAACGAACATCCCCAACTCCCAAACCCCAACCTCCGCTGGCGTGTGCTACCAAACAATGAAGGCCCTTTTTGAACTTGGGAGCTGGGTGTAGGGCTGAGTTGGACGCAGCTTGTAAGCGAAATGGGGCCATGGGTGACGACTTCCAGCGCGTTTTGTTGTGCCTCGAAACCCCACCGATTACGACCCATGAGCCCGCAACGAAGGTTCAAGCAATATCAACTCTTATTCAGACCTCTATCATCCCCTACACTATTTTGTGCCATACTATGCTACACTGTACCATTCTGCTATACTCTACTCTGCTGTACCGCACTGCACTGCACTGCCCTGCACTGCCCTGCACTGCACTGCCCTGCACTGCACTGTACTATGCTACCATACTACTATATAGACTATAATTACTGACTATACTATAGTCTATTATACCAATCTACACTATACTAGGACGAGGGACTCGCACCCCTTGAACTCTTCTTGCACCACAAGCCGAGACACCTCTGGGCCGGCTCTGCCGACCCTTCCGCGCGAAGCAGCGCCGGCCCCGCCTGGGGA